TTATTCCAATAAGTTTGTATGATGATTTTGGACATGTCCACAAAGTTTGATTAAATTCCGATGAGCTTTGGATAAGTTTGGGTTGTATGGTGATTGTTTTCAGTTTCGACTTCGATTTGACCATAAAGTTTACCATATTGAGAAAACGGCCTTTGATTCGTGTTTTGACTAAATCATTGTATTTGTATCATAATTTTGGAACCATAGCAACTGAAATCATCAAGGTTCGACATCGTATGAGACATTTATGGTCATTTTACTAAGAATTGGGTTGCCAGATTTGTTTTAGATTAATTATGAAATTGCCACTGAATTCGTATTTAAAAATCTGCATTATTTTCAAATATTAAACCAACATATCGCCTTCATTACATGGTCAAATGGAGTGATTCAAAGGCCTAACTTGATTGAAATTTCATGGGGAATCCATTGGGGGCATCAAAAGCGAGTTTCGGGATCATTTGGCACAAGAAACGAGGCAGAACAACTGGGCAGAAGCATATAATATCGATGGTCTTTTTATTTGGTCATATTTTGAGTTAAGGAGCTCGGATTTGGGCTATTTTGGAGTCAATTTTCACCACATGGATTGGGATAAGTGTTCTATACTTGATTTTGGTTATATTTTATGAATCCATCTTCGTTTTTGGCATTTGATAGATGATTTCAAAGTGAAATTCGGGGGGTTTTGTCTAAAATTTCATAAAATGAATTTTTGAGTTTTGAACATCGATTCAGAGTCGAATTTGAGTGAAACTAGTATGGTTGGACTAGTAATTGAATGGTTTATCGGATTTTGTGAGTTTCGTTGATTTCGAGGTGCGAGCCCGGGTTTGACTTTTTGGTTGACTTTGGGCTTTTGATTAAAGATTCGACCTTTATCGATTGGATTTGTTTCCTTTGGAATTATTTGATGTTCTTGAGTTTCTTTTGGCTAGTTTCGAGTCTTTCGAAGGTCGATACGCACGGGATGGCGTTACTAGAGTATTGTTTGGCTTGCTTGATATTGGATTCGGCTTGTTCGAGTTAAGTAACACTTCTAAACTTGGTGCTGAAGGTATGAATCCCTGAACATACATGTTATGTGTTTGGTATTGATGTGATGCACATGCTAGGTGACGGGCGTGTGGGCGTGTTGCCTATGAAGGGCGTGATGCAATTTGGGAAGAAGAGAAAGTTGAGCCCGAGGTTTATTGGCTCATTTGAGATTTTGGAGAGAGTTAGGTAGGTTTCTTATAGGCTTGCATTGCCTCCTAGACCAGTAGGGGTACATCCGGTATTTCACATTTTCATGCTTCGAAAGTACCATAAGAATGGGTCACATATTTTAGACTTCAGCATGGTACATCTTGATGAGAATTTGACCTATAGGTAGAGCTAGTGGCTATTTTAGACGATAGGTTCGAAAGTTGAGATCTAAGAATTTTCCTTCTGTGAAAGTGTATTGGAGAGGTCAGCCCATTGAGGAGGCTACATGAGAGTCCGAGTCTGATATGAGGAGTAGATGCTCGCACCTTTTTACCAGTCCAGATACATTTCTATGTCAGTTCGAGGGTGAACGTTTCATTTAGAGGTGGAGAATGTGACGACCTGATAGGTTGTTTTGAGTACTAGCTCCCTTTTCTGTGTTTTGAGACCTCCCCTAGCTTTATTTGATGATTTATGACTTACGTGCGTGGTCCGTATCATTTTTCGAAAAGTTCATATGTGAAAATTTAAAGAAATATGATTTTTTACTTTAAAAATGATTAGAATTGACCACAATCAATGTTTTGGTAAACGACCTCGGATCGGTGTTTTGACAATTCCGGCAGATTCATATGATGTTTTGGACTTTTACGCATATTTGGTTGGGGTCCCGGGTGATCCAAGGCCGTTTCGGCGCATCATGTGAAAAATTGGAAAATTGAGTTTTAAACTTGAAAATCTTGAGTTTTGAAGATTGATTCTTGATATTTGATGTTATTGTAATAATTTGAGATAGCGAGCGAGTTTGTATGATATTATTACACTTGTGTAAATATTCGGATTGGAGCCCGAGGGGCTCGGGTGAGTTTCGGATGTATTTTGGATGTTTTTGGAATAGTTGAGTATCAGCTGGTGTTGAGAGTCTGCAGTTCTCACATTTGCGAGGTCTTGCTTGCAAATCTGAGAATCGCTTATGCGAGGGATGGATCGCATTTGCGAAGATGGGCTGGGGTCTGGGCACTTCGCATTGTGAAGTTCGTATTGCAATTGAGGACTGTGGGGTTTCGCAGTTGCGATTAGCCAGTCGCATTTGCGACACTGTGGTCTTAGGGGCAGCTTCGCATTGTTCGCATTTGCGGACTGCCCAGGGTTCACATTTGCGAGGAATTCATCGCTTTTGCGATATCAGAGGGCTTAGAAGTTGTTCTCTTTTGCGAATAGTTGTTAGCTTTTGCGAACAAGAGTTCACAATTGTGAACCTAGTGCTCTAATACCACTTTGTCGTGACTCAAATTCCACCAAGTTGTGATGGAACCTAAACCAACCCATTAGGCGAACTAACCAACACAAATACAACTCAAACTGAAGATAAGTATATAAATTAAGAATAAATATGCAGAAAATCATTATAACTACCCGAGAACTGGTGTCACAAGTCATGAGCAACTAAAAATAGGAATACAATGCTTATATAAAAAATACATCATCTTTTTGAAATATAGCAAACAGAAATACAAGGTTCTAATCTACCATGAACAAAGTGGCAATTCAAAGTTGTTACACTGATATATCTACACAGGCTACTCTCGAACTCTTCACCTCGCTCAACTCCAGTATCTGCACACATGGTGCAGAAGTATAGTATGAGTCCACCAGCACAGTACTCAGTAAATATACCCGACTGTTTAACAATGAAGTAGTGGCGAGGTGTGGTTAGAATAATATTCACGTCAACCACATGTGTAGTCAACATACATAGCAATAATCGAGAAAGTGCGCAGAAGTCGCATAATAAGCTAATCACAACTAAAACATATAACAATATGCAAAGATAAGCATATGATAATGATGCAATCTATCTTAACTAAACAAGTCCAATGCATATAACAAGGCATGAAATAATGCATATAACAAGGCATGAAATAACACATGAATCCAGCATGTAAAAATGCATGAATATGTATAAAGGATCACTTAAACAAAATAAAGCTACCATATTTATTCTCAACTCATTGGTATCTCAAATCAAAACAGAAATCCATCAGTTTCTCACAAATCTATGCACACACATCCCAATGTAGCATAGATTATCACGTGACTCTAGAGGGATGGATCCAAATTTATGAACACTATACAGATAACTCTATGTGCCATAATTATAACAACTCGCAGGAACAACTCAACGTGCCTTTATCATAACAACTCCCTCGGACTACTCAACGTGTCATAATCACAAAAACTCGCACGGATACTAAACGTGCCATAATCACAACAAGGACATACGTATCTCATATGCAAATAAAGATGCATATATACAATGCATGACTATCAATAAAGCATATAATCCGACGTACACATGTCCCCTCGTGTTAAACTAGCATGTAAAAAATGCATATATAACATGATTTTATCATATAAAGAATACTTAAATAGTCATACAACAAGAAAGGTATATGTAACAAGTAAGACATACAAAGACCTAACATACTACCTCGAGCATGGATATTTATGGTATCCCCATATATGCTCGTTACGTCGCATATATGTTACCCCCATACGTAGTTAGTAGCAAACAAAACAATTTGGGGAAAATCACTTCTAAATGGATATGACTCCACTTACCTCCAATCCAGCTTAGAGACTTTGATGCTAGGTTCCGTATTTGGCTATCGTAGTCAATATTACATGAAGATTATTGAGATGGTTATTAAGGTTTTGGAGCGTTAAATTTCTGAAATATTGACTATCGGAGCCTGGTAAATCTCTCAGTTCCGTTGCTATGGTCCCTTCGTACCTAAATATTCTCGGAGGCTTTGTTTAGGGAATGTAGCGACACTGCACATTCGTGGCTTCTATTTTACCGGGTAGGTTTGGTTTTCCTTTTCATTGTTCGTGAGTTTTCAGAAAGAAAGGTAAGGATTAAAATGAATCTTTGCTCTACATATGAAAAGATGACTCGCGGTTGAGGATAGCTTCTATTGGACCTCAATATTGAGGCGACAGTGAGCGGCTGGCTCCCTTTCTTGCTGATTTAATAAGAATAATTTGATAACTAGATAGTATTATCTCATTATATTTTATCATGGCGGTTGATATATGTTTCAAGGATTATAGCATGTTTGACCAAGCTCCATTTTTGCTAGAAATATTTTTTAATAACAAAAGTACTTTTTTCCATAGTTAAGGTGTTAGGTCAAGCTTTTAGATGGAAAAGAAGTATTTTCGAGAAATAGAAAAAAATAGTTTTTCATTAAAAGTATTTTTTTAAAAGTACTTTTAAAAAAAATACATTTAAAAGCTATTTTTTAAAAATTTGACTAAATACTAATTATTAATCAAAAGTATTTTTTACATTAATTAGTTAAACATAAAATGTTTCACATCCTCCCAAAAAAATACTTAAAGGTACTTTTCAAAATAAGCTAATTTTAAAAACTTAGCCACTATTGCTCAGTTGTCACGTCCAGGTCCTTTTAGTTATTTAATGTTTCCAGAGTTACCTATTACTACTTAAGTAACACCATAACCGATACCACTAATTATTATTTAGTATTATTATTATTATTATTATTATTATTATTATTATTATTATTATTATTATTATTATTATTTTTATATCTCAGTATACTTAATGAAAATATTGTTTTCTTATATATACTTAAAACATCAAAAAGATATTTTTATGAAATTCTTATTGCATTGTCAATCTACTATTAAAGTACATATTTATCATATCGTTATATCCTAATTATAAGAAATATAATATAGTTTTTAATAAAGGAAAAAATATCTTTCCCACGTCAATTGGATGATACTAAAAGCACGCTCCAAATAGGGGTATTACATAATACTAGAAAAGTTTGAATAGCACAAGCAGGGGCTACAGAAACATCTTCAGAATATCACATAGGAACAACCAATACAAAAACTCACTCGCTCACTCAAAATTCCCAAGGAAACAGCCAAATTCTCAGAGGTACTAAAAGGTTACAAAGAACGAAGAGGAAAATACAGAAGATTTAACAACACGGAGAAGATGTCAATAGGATGCCCAGGCTGGATTTTGTGAAATTGTCTCGGGGATAAAAAGAGAGGGTGCAGGATTTGAGTCAAACCAGCCCAAGTGATCCATGAGCCTCTTAATTAAATGACCTGCTGCATAACCAACACCCGAGGCCATACCTGCAGCTGTAATATAGGACACAATAGTCTTTAAGTATCTACTAAACTTATTTGCTCCTTGTGTATAAGCCTTTGCAGCAGCAAGTATGATAATGCACAAAAGAGAAGCCGCTGCAACTGCTATAAGCTTGTAGTCTCTATCGTCACTCTTACGAAATGCGAATCCATATACTACTGGTGGGACAAGGCCAAATATAAAATATGACAACAGGGCAAAAGTAGCATGAAGTAGGAAATGCTTTCTTTGGCCAAGTAGCTCTCCATATCGATCTGCTTGATCACTAAGATTAGAACCTCCTCCGACATTATACTTCAAGTCTACCAACTGCAAATTTCCATTTTATTTGAGAACAGATAAGCAGCAAGAACTAAAGTACGAGAAAGGAAGGTAGAAGAACAGTTAGCAACTGTAAAGCAGAACCAGAAAACTCACATTTTGACAAATGACAAAAAATCCAGCTATCAGATTTGCCACCCCAATAGTTAGGATCTTCGCTGCAATATCAAGAAAAATCTAAGTAAGCCATTCTTATTCTGTCAAAATTTTAGGAGAGAAGATTTAGAAGCCTTGGTTTTTCAGGTGTAGTAGCTTTATCATAAGCATCAGCACAATCCACAGAAGTCACCTCTAACCAACAAAGTAACATTACTATTATGCCTTTTGTCTAGAATCATAAACCTGAAGTCAAAATACTCATGCAACTCAATGGCCTAGTGTGTGTGGGGGTATGCCTGTCTAGCATTCCACCAACTCAAGGTGCTTTACGTCATCATAGTTTGCATTTACATGTTAACATATGCCCAAGATTGAACATACACGTGATGCTACATAAAATTAACAAATCTAGAGGAAGGATGTTAATGTAAGTGTAAGAACCGGGAATTAGCAATTTAGCATGGGTAAGATGCACCAGTTGACGTATCAAGACAACCTTTTTACCCTATCTATTGAACTAGGAAGACATCAGTCAAAAGATAATGCTTCTAAACTTCTAAAGTGAAAGATCTTTAAAAACTCTCACAAAGATCTCCTAGGTTACCATTGGAGTAACGAACCAAGATAACAAAGATTGAAGAATTAAACCAAAAAAAAAAATGTCTCAGTGACTTACTTGTGTCCGCATCGGAAGCAGCTGCAGAGGAAACCACACCCAAGCTTGTAATTGACTCTATTAAACCTCCATATACTATGCATTTTACAATTTCCAGTGATTTGGTATTTTTAACTTCAACTGGAAATAATGGTCTTTGTGTACTGCTGGAATCCGCAGTTGATGATGAGGCTCCTGGGTCATCCATAGGAATTCGCCAATCATCTCCTGCATTATATAGCTATTTATCAAAACATATTGCCCTACAAACTTTTTAACATTTCATGAACACCTAAGCTCTAATGCTTCGCAATAGGAAACGACTTTCAACATTTTCGACTCAACTCAAATACAGCTAGAGATGCTAAAACTAATAAGATTCAAATGCCATGTGTGCTTTTTTATGAAATAATGGTGTAAGATATGACCACGTCCGCCCCTAGCCGATTAGGGCGACTACTAGATGAAAAGATAATCATGGTGGATACGAAAAATCTGATGCACCACATAAGTAATGGAATACAAATGTTTTGCTACATATTTTCCAGCACTATCACCTTTATTCTCTTTAATTTCACTTGGTGGTTTCTTTGAAGGCATTGCCCCAGGAATGAAGCCACCTGCAAAATTTGTAGTTTCCCAATGATAAGTAGAAAGAAAAGAGATATAAGGAAAAGTTTTCTGCTCACTGTACTTTCGAGAAGTACAGGAGTACATGTAGAACTTCTGGCCTTGGACATGGTAAACACAAACCAAGATGTTCAAAAGTAGAAACTGGCTAAAAGAGAAAGTTGAGCAAACAAACACAAAAGCAGAAAAACTTCTCCATAAAGATGGAAAATATTGTGTATTAAGGAGAATTAGCTCTTCTCTTCAATTGCATTACCTTCCTCTCCAAGATCAAAAATACTGCCGGGATGTGTGGGTCCTTTTGCTGGAGGAGTTCCTGAAGGTTTCTTGGCGGTTGGGGATTTATTGTCAGCTGCATCGTCTTTGGCTGATGGTAGTCTTCCATTAGGAAAAGGATGAGTGTTCTGCCCAGCTGATGGTTCAAATGGATTTATGAGACGAACCCAAATCAGTACTATTGTTTGCTTGGTCAAGATCTTTTCTTGTTACAAGAATATTAAGAGTGAAATAGGTCGGGTAAGGAACAATATCAAGATTGTTTAACAATGTTAAACATATAGGCTTGAGCGGCTAAGCAGTCATTGTCCTCCATAAACTGCCTGATAATAGTCCAATGTAATCCACATAAGGTTTTGCACTTAGTGTGTCGGCACTAAGTAGAAGATTTTGATTTTCTGTGTTGCACTTGTGGAGGAAGGGCAAGAAAGAGAGTGCAAGGTGGGAAAGGATGGTATATTCGAAGAGTTAAGTGGTCTTAGTGATAAAGCGCCATGTTGCTCAGATCCTTCAAAATTCTAGCTGCACCCGTGTCAATCCGACATGATTTGGGTGTGGGGTCCACACCAGATTACGTCAACCTAATATTGGCGCTTTGACTACACCTATGACCAAGATGTTCAGGTTGATTGGATATTTTGACTTGATTTTGGGTTTTCTCAACCTAATATGTATATATATTCACATAAACTACTAGAACACTTTGCTATTATACGAGATAACTTATGAACATACGAGTTTACAAAGATTTTTTTTTATACTAGCTTTAATTTAATAACTTCAATTAATTGTCGAAATATATACTTATATATATCGTAATATAGATTTATTGGTTGTATCTTTACTTCTACTGGTATCCCAGAACCCAGAGATTTAGGTGATGAATTCTAGATCGGCCCCATGTCAGTGTGCCCACGCCCCTATCCGATCAATATAGATAAAGGTACACATAGCTAACAAGCCTGCACCTAGAAAACAGATCATGATGATCTTAAGAAGCCAAAAGGTTATATAATTTTTGTACACTGTCACCAAAGAAACAATCCTGATTGATTTGAAAGGAATTGTATAGAATATATGCAGTTTGATCAGCTATCGCAAAGGCAAATATGTGATTTAACTAGTTACTGAATGCATTTAGTTTCCAGTAAACAGAAAGAAAGGAAATTAAAAAAATTAAGAAACTATTAGAAAACACCACCTGGCTCAGTGAACTTTCTTCCATCCGTAACTTTTCTCTTGCGAAGAAACCAATGAAGATCAAAGCATCCTTCTGCACAGTTTTAAAATATCACATATTGAGCTTCACATCAAGACTGAAGAAAAAAGAAAATGTCTTCTATCTTTAGCACCATTTCTTTCCTTCAATGATGCTAATGTAAATAAATCAGTTATCTGAACTAGAAAGCTGTACAAAACGACTGAATAATCATGCATGAAAGTCGAAACACCTACTGAAAGCAAAAGGACGATTCAAAGTGCATAAAGTAACTAGACTAAATACCTTCATTTGGAACTGACTTTCCCTCTTCAGTTGCAGAACCAGAAGGCACAGAGTTTCCTCCTCCACTTCCAAAAAGCGGGAATGGATTGAGCTTCTTTCCTGCATAAATTGAACAAGCATCTGAATTCTGCATATAGTTATAAGAAATGTTATACTAGTCATCATGTGTGGAAATTTGTCAGATACATGTATTCTTAAATTAAATGTAATTTAAAAATGACTGCACTTAGAACTTAGAGGGAACACTATTTGAGTTTCTAAGGTTATAACTATAAACTTTACACTTATAAATTCGCAAGTTTGCAGTTTTTAAGGGAGTCAATAAAAAGCAAATGAGTAATATAGATGAACTTATTATGGATAGGAAATAGTGAAAGCTCACACAAATAGAATAAAGATCACCAAATGAATTCAAAAGTATCATCTTAAAGCTTCGCACTGCAAATAAACTGCAGATGAACAATCTTTGCCAAAACTATGTGCAATGATAAATGCTAGTTACTGCTCAAGCTTCTTGCATATTATTACTGAGGGTGGACAAAACTTAAATGTCGTTCTTACATGATTCAATATACCTACGTCAAAATTTGCTGCAGGACAAAACATTAAAAAAGAAAAACTTCATAATGGTATATAGTGCAATGACTGTAAAAACTAAAATTTGATGTTTAGACTACTGGTTTTATAGCTGCCTCTTCTTCGCATGGACTGAAGACCTAAAATAGTCCAGGAACTTCTCAAATCAGCATGTTGTTTCCAAAAGGCAAAAATTTATGCTATAAAAAAGGGCAGCCCGGTGCACGAAGCATCCCGCATTCACGCAGATTAGAATTGAATGCAGATTTACACTTATAGCTCAAAGAGCATTAGACTGTGTCAAGCCACTGTGTCAAGCCAAATGCTGCTGAAACAAAGAGCTTCACTTTTCCATTTTTAAACAATTCAGATCCATGATCATTGATCCCTACTTGGAATCCTTTTCTTCCCTGCCTTATAGTAAAAGTTTGAGCTCACTGATCTTCATCGTGTTGTCATCAAACACAAGGACAGCAAATGAATCGACATTTTAATTAGTGGCATTACTGTAACATAGCCATGTATGTAGTACACTTAGATGAGATATTCAGAAGAACATTAAACTTAGAAAATATACCTATAAGAATGAAAATGCTGAAGCATGAACAGCATCCAAGTAGATCCTGACGATCATCAGTTTCTACTGGAATCCTTCTTTCCCGCTTTACCCTTCGGAGGACAACCTTGGTTATACGAGAACTGCAGTTAGGACAGTATGCATTATGTGTGTGTAGCTTATCAACTGCTGTCGTGTCAAAGAACTCCAACTCGACGACTTCCTCCTCTTCAATGATTCTTTCATTTTCACTTCCTTTTGTGACTGAAGCACTTGACTGTGAATCATATCCTAGTGAAGGTGGAAGACATACACCAGAAAGAAACTTGCCCTTAGAATTTCCTGTCTCATCCTGTGAATCATGTCCTAGTGCAGGTGGAAGACATACACCAGAAAGAATTTCTGCCTTAGCATTTCCCGTCTCATTACCATTGACAACACCGTCTAGAACCTTCTGAAAGTCTATAGTCTTTAAATTGGCAGCCAAGTTCTCAATACCTGCAAGGGACAGTATAACAGTACATCATGTGAGGAACACAACTTAGCAGCTTTAGGCCTCTTTGCATATGCAACATTTACTTGCAATGTCATACACTAGCGTTAATTCTAAGATAATAAGAGGGCCAATTTTAAGAATTAAACAAGAAGAAATGATACTTTTATGATCCTTTAACAAAATTTGGCATGACAATGTTAGACAATAACCCCGATATGATAGAAACGCCCATCTAAACCATTAATAGGAAAACTAAGGTACTGTTCTCGTTTCTAGTATATATCATATTCAATTAGAGTAATACCAAAATTCTGCAATTTGTTATTGTGTATCTACTGACCTCTACCGTGAAAATGGAAGGAAATGCTTTAAGTAAAGAAGATTGATAAATTTGTTGCAATTTTTACACACATTAAAACCCCAGAATTAGGAGCTCATTTTAAAATTGATTCGGAAAGTAAACTTAATAGATGAATCAGTCAAAATGTGTTTGAACAAAAACAATACTATGAGTTAGAGAGGCATCTAATGCTACATCTGCGAGAATAAAGCCAATAAGAATTTCATGTTCACTAGTCCGACGGCCTCTAATGCCACAGCGAGTGGGAGGAAACAGTCAATAACAACAGAGCTTACGACTTACGAGTAAGTCATTTTCTAAATTCTTCGTAGATTGCGCTGCGGCGCTGTTAAGCTACCAGAAAATCGCAGTTCGCCGGAGGCGGGAGGGTGATGATCGGGGGCGGATGTTGCCCTATATTCATCTGAAGCCATAATTTTTTACTCAAAGTATGAATATATACGTGAAACTTACAGGTTTTGACCAATATTGTCCATTAATTTTGAGGTTAGGTCTATTTTGGTCCCTCAAATATAACCTTGAGCATATTTAGTCTCTTAAGTATGCTAAAGTATAGCAACTTTAGTCTCACTGACACAATGTGTTCAAAAACTAACGGTGTTACCCAACTCTAATTCATGAAGCAAATCTTCTGTTCTAAAGCAAAATGTTTCCTCTTATTTTATTGGATAACGCAAATTATCACTTTAATTCCTCATTTTTAGATAATGTCTTCTAAAATTTTGATCTTGAAAATATCCCATTATGTGCCAGTTTTCAATGAGAAATTGATACTGTATAGCCGCCGTTAAAATAATAGCCGAAAAAATATATAAAATTTATAAATTATTTTGTGTATATATATACATTTAAAATTTTCGGTTGATTTCGGAGGGAAATTTCATCTTTGTTTTGGCCCTCGCAGATTGACCATATTCCTTTCTTCTCTTCTTCTTTTTTTTCTCTTATCCTTTCATTGTGAATTTGGAAATTTAACTGGTTTGATTTAAGGAAAGTCATTTTACACGAAAAATGATTCACAAAGAATTATTTTTATGGTGCTTGACAGATGAGTGAAAAGTATACCTCGAAAAAATATATATAAAAAAATTTATAATAATATTAGCAAATCGAATAATATTATTTTGATGAAACTTTCAAATATTAAACTTATTAATAATATTTAAATGATATTCTCTACTGTTCATAATAAGTAACTTTTTTGTCTTTTTATTTTAGTCCAAAATAAGCATCGTTTTACCTAATAAAGAAGAAATTAACTTTATTTTTAAAAATTTGACCTTATTTACATATCTCAATGTGTCAAATTAATAATACGAAATTTTTAATTAAGGATAATTTAGTTATAATATCTTTTTTCTAGAAGTTAGTATTTTTTTAAGGTGTGTGTCAAAGGCCAAAAGGTCACTTATTATGCACCGAATGAAGTAGTTTTGAACAGGTAATATAGAATTAATAGTTGAGATAATTAAAATAACTTTCCTTAATAAGGGACCAAAGTTATTTCTTTTCTTTTGATCTTTGGTTAAGACCAAAAACAACTTTATTGTGAAAATATATTTTCCTGAAATATAATTTTCTTATAAAAATATAATTTTTATGTAATTATTTTTGGATAGAATGGACTGTTAAGAATAGCGACGAATCCTTGCTCCACCTGACGAGTAAGACAAACTGGAGTGGAAAAAGGAGGATAACGAAGAGGTTGAATCCAACCGACGAGGTGGAACCTTTCTTTCATTTCAGGCTGTAACTCCAAAGTGACTTTAACATAAACAAAAATAGTTGATTTGAATTGAAAATATAATCTTAATCTTAACAAACAAATTTGATCCAAAAAATTAATTAAGAATTTGACCAAAGCCAAAGTCAGAGTTAAGGGAGCGCGAAGTATTGTCTTCTTCTCAATTTTTTAATAGCTAAAAGGAGTCATTTGTATATACACCAACAAATGTCTTTGCCTCCTCCAATGTTTATGTTCATTTGTAAATGAGAGAAATTAAAAAATTTATTTTTCATTCATACTATTTTAAGCTAAAAACTCAACATAATTTACGTAAAATTCATACTAATTTTTATTCCTCGGATAAACTAATATGTTAATTAATTTCTTATATATTTTTCAATGGAATTTTCATAACTTGAATAAGTTTCTAATGTAGATGGTGCTATAGCTTAATTTGACAACTTAAACCCTCATAGGATATCTGACGCGGATTTCTCTATTCGAAAGCTTATCACCAAAGAGGATAGTTGACTTGAGTTTTTTTTAAGATACTCCCTCTTTTTTGACAAATTTTTTTTATTAATCCGTTCAAAAAAGATGACACATTTCTATATTTGAAAATAATTTAACTTTAATTTTTTTATTTTACTCACATTACCATTAATGATAAGCTTTTATAATCACAAAAATATCACGGTCTCACAAAGTTTTTGCCCCTTAAACTTTTAGGACCACGTGTTTCAAACATCTTTTTTTCTCTTAAATTTTGTGTCAAGTCAAACTATATTATCTAAATTGAAATGGATGGAGCTGAGTATCTCTTAGTTTTATACCTATATTTATGCTACACAATTCGTTATGAAGTTTATGAAATTTGACTTCTCTATTATAGTGGGAAGAATGTCAAAATAACAAGTTTAAAGTTGATTTAGTGGAAAAGCATCTTACAAAAAGTTTATCAATTAATAATTAGTTAAATGAATGTTAAGAAATTATAAAAATTATATACTCCTTAAATATCATTATTAAAATGATTTCACATATTTTGGAACGTCTTAAAATAAATGGAAACGTGATATGAATATAGGTAGACAGTCCACTACTTTCGTTTGTTCTCCATGAAACTGAAAAACCAAAGTTCATTTTGTTTTTTCCAAAAACAAAAATGTGGCTGGAGGTGGATAAAAGCTATTTTATATATTGAGCCAACCAAAAAGGAATACAAGTAACAAATATTTTAATTTAATATTTAACTTTCCAAAATAGAAAACCAAAACCCGATCTGTAAAAACTTTACTTTTTCCCTTTAATGATCTCTCTCTTTTTAGAAGCCTAGTATTGTCTTCATCCTCCTCCTTTAGAACCAACAATTCGCCTAACCAAAGGAAATTGTACTGTTTTGAGGAAAATTAAAGCCTAAATATATAGATTAACAAAAAGCAAACACAATTAAAAAACAAAATATAGAAGGCGAGGTGGAAAAAAGGAGACATCCAGTCACGGAATGACATGTTTCCTTAAATAATGATCTTGGCAATTCTCTTTATGAGGTCGCTTTTCTCTTTAAATGATCTAAAATATATACCTTATAGTATTCAATAAATTAAAATTCCAACTGTCACTGCTCTCTACTGTACTACAAACGAAAACTAAGACATCAATACACAAAATTTCTTCAGTTTTATTCACGTAACAGCCTATAGGTAGAACATGGTTTTGAAGATTGCATACCTCCATTCTTGTCAAAGTAGATGCTATTGTTAAGCTCCTCCTCCTTGTTAACCTCTTCTTCATTAACAGCACCACCGTCATCGTTGGCGGTGCGTCGACCTCGACGTCCGACAAGTGCCTCCTCCACCGTCTCCTCCGCCTCTACTGCGGTCTCCGGCACCACCTCCTTCCAGTTGTGTTGCGCCACCTCCATAGCCATAATGTCCTTGGAATTATTTGTGTGGCACAAAGACTTATGAAATGGTCAGCAGCACGCACAATTCAAGTTGTCACCAAGAGCCAAGAGCTTGGACTCTATAAATAGACGACAATTCAGTCAATTAATTATCAATGTTTATCAGTATTAAAAAATAAGGTAATAAATGAAGTTGGTTAGAAGTGTGAAAGAAATAAAATATAGATCGATGCGTACTTAATTGGTCGTGCTAAGAAAAAAAAAAAAAACAAGTTGAGAATCTTCAAGTTCTTAGCTGTTTATACACATGATTAGGGGTTACAGATTGTCTACTAGTGTAGTTTACACTTGCATTATTTTACGTTCTTGCACATTATTTTACGTTCTTGCACATCTGTTGATCCTTTATTACAAAATCTAGGAGTAGTATACTTATTTAATTTATATTACAAGGACAGCATAGACACTTTTCTACTGTACTATGTGTATATTTGATCTTGTTATAAATAGATTATTTTCCTCGATTTTTCATGTTGGATGATGTAAAATAACTATACACCGTTAGTATGCCACGATTAAACTCACGCCGAGATCAATCTAGAGTATTACTAGAAGACTTAAAAAAGTTTGTAATGAACTGGGTTTCAGACTTTTCAGATGGTAGTGTCCAAAACGTGGCTATCCTTTTTAGTCAAGTTTCTTGTAATTTAATACTTCTTAATATTTAAATCCAAGTGCGAGGTCAGTACATAGTTGACCTGACCTGGTTGAGTTCAGATATGAGATTCCCACCTGCCTACCAATTTTTTGTCATTAGTTTCACCTGTGATACTACCTGTACTTTCATAATTTTTTTGATATACTTGATTATTATCTTTGTTTATTACTAGCTAATTGAACTAGATAATACATGCCTAAACGTTCATGATTTTTTTTAATATACTTATGTTTACCCTAAAAATTGAGTAACAATTAAACTTACATTATGGTATTAAGAATATATCATTTGAACCAGCACCAATTGATAAACAACGAATTAAATAGATAAATTGAACAATAAAATAAATCAAACCGGTCCGCAAACAATACCTCGACCTCGATTCGAGATAGTCTTGATGTTAGTTAATAAGAACAATGGAGGATGGAACAAACAGCAATGAACAGTAAGTAAACGACATCCCTCACTTAAAGGCCAAGAAGTGCAAGATGCGATACCTATTGCTTGGTTCCTTTATTTTTACACCAATACCCCATGAACGTGACAGAAAAATTGATGCAAAATTGGGGGCGCAATTCATATCCTCAAAGTGGAAGAAAAAGTGGTGAAAGTGATGGCGTCGCGTCGCGACATTAAATCAAGCGCTTGTTGGGAGGCAACCCAATTATATATTTTTATTTTTGTTTAATTTTTTTTAATTGTGTTATTTTTGTAGTGTTGTTTTTGTATTTTGTAGGAGTAGGAACATGGATTCAAAGCCAATAGGCGTGGAAAGAATTGAGCAGATGGTTGGAACTAAGTGTGAGATACCCGCACAAAAGATAACAATCGGGAGAAGTCTGAATATCCCGTGAGCTACTAATTCTTCGGCCTTTGGCCTACCAAGGAGTCTCTTTTATCCTTTTGTTATTTACAGTGTGCATTGAGGACATTGTACAATTTTAAGTGTGGGGTAAGGAGACTATCTGGGTGTTTTTTGTGCTATCTTAGCTTAGTTGTAGTACTCGTTCTTAGTGTAAAAAAATAAATCATAAAATTTTGTACTTCTCCCGACAATGGATCGCATTCGACAAGTGTCTTAAGGGATTTAAGTTGAAAGAAAAAAGACAAAAAGTTTTTCTTTTGTTAGGTAGTGTAATAATTCCCCCTTGGTTTTTCTTTGTGTCGCGGTTCTTTTTTAAGGATTTTATTTGAACCGGGTGTAGTTAGTTTTATTTTTTTAGGAGTAGAAGCCATTGTGGGATGAATTGAATTGAAGTAATATCTCTTGACTTTGTTATGCCTTGAGAATATTGAGTACTTTGGCTGTGACGCTTAGGCTCAGTTTTTGACTCTTTAATAAGTACTTTAAATCGTATGATCTTAACTTTGCTTAATTGCTTTGACTAGAGTGTCTTGATGAGTCCAATCCTGAGTGAGTTATATGCCGTGTGTGTGAGGTTTGTGTGTTATTCTGTGTATTGCATTTGATGTCTAGAACTTGCCCCGTGTGTTTGCAAAGCGAAATAGTAGTGTTGTTAAGTCTTGGAAGTGATATATGCGTTTCTTTGTTGAGCCAGATATATATAGTTTACCCGCCTAATTGTTATGTATCTTAGTTAACCCCTTTGAGCCTGTAATCCTATTTCTTTGGCAACTACATTACAAGCCTTACCCCATTTGTTTGAATTAACCATCTATTTGAACCTTTTAACCTCTCATGAGCACTTGAATTGTTATAAACTTTGTAAAAGTTAAAGTGTGGGGTGGTTGGTTTGGCTTTTGAGTGGAACTAATGAAATAAGGAGAAAGGTGCATTGTTTTGAAAATAATAAAAGCCACTTGAATTAAAAAAGAAAGAAAGGAAAAAAAATAGTTGAATTGCTGTGAAAAAATATTTCTTGATAGTGGTGACTCTTGATGTAATTGTGCTTAAAGAAGTATGGAGTTAATATACATTGATGTGAAGGTGGAGTTATGGTTTGATATAAGTGTGGGGTTTAAATGTTAAAGTGTATGTATTAAAGTGCTTAGGGAGATGTAGTCACTCTTATATCCAATTGTATCCTACCCGACCCGCAGCCTACATTACAACCAATTAAAGCCCTACTTGATCCTAGACTGAATGAACTCGATTAGTAGAGTAGTACACTACGGGCAAGCCTATGGTGCATCTTTTGTGGCATATGAATGTATTTCTGAGAGTGAGTGAATTTTTTCTATCTTGAGTTCCTAATTGCTCTTAAATTTTTATTGTGTGTGGAACTACTCTCTTTTGTTGTGTAAGGCCACTTGATTCATGAAGGAAAAGTAATGTCATTGACCTCTATATTAGAGTAAGTGAGTGAGTTGTGAATATTGCATGGTACTCGCGAGTCAAATCTTGAGGTGAAGATGTTACACCTTTTACTTAGTCTATTTTAAAGATTCTTGGTGTGATGAGTTAGGAGAATTGTTTAAAAAGGTCGTGTCTATATAAAGTGTAGTTTGATTGCTCGAGGACGAGCAACGTTTAAGTGTGGGGTAGTGATGTTTGGCTATAATTACATATTTTTAGTGCATTACTTACCTTACATTTTAGGTGCTTTAATGCTAAATTATACTATTTTTGTGCTTCATTGAGTCTATTTTATGTGTAGGTACGTTGAAGACGAAATTGAAAACAAAGTAGAGATTTTATGCACTACAAGATTGACTCGTGATTATTTGATGATGGAAAATATTATAATGAGATAATGAAACAAATGATTGAAGACAATGTAAAAGTGTTTATCCGAAAAATCGAATGCATTAAATTTATGTATGGTTCTAAGGATATGTGATACAGTTTGATACAAATCGTAGAGAGAAATAGAAATATTTATGTTCTTGGCTATGAGAGTGGGAATAGTGAGCAAAAGAATGAATAAGGTAAAATAAAACAAGCATGAGGAGATATCTTTCAATATGAGAAGTGATATTTTGTTACAATGTATTTTTCTCTGTGTCCTCTGCTTATAAGGATCCCCTCTCCCTTTATAATAGAGGGATCCTACTTTATTTATAATAAAATAAAGTATATAGTGGAGGACCTATAATGATTTGTCTCTTCCTCGATTCCCGCCAAGATTCTCTCTCTTAGTGCGGTTGTAACGACTCTTGTTTGTGAGCTCGATACTGGCTCAGGCTCGTTATTGGGTCGAACCCTCGGTTTTGGCTTGAGTTCGACCTCCGGGATGGGTGTAACACATTCCTGACCTCGAAGAAATGCCTTGCGGATCGATTTGGTCATGGGCTCGATAAAAGTATCGAGCCGACTCCTCGATCAGCCTTCAGACTCGAGGCTCATTTGTACTGCCTTCGGAACTCATCCCAAAATCCCACTCCGGTTGCTTACCGTTCGAACTCGATCGAACGTAGGAAGGCCGAAATCTATTTCGACCGTATATAGATAGTCCCCTCGATTCTCAGGAAGGATGTGGTGAGAATCGATATGATCTTCGATGGTTCGATCGGGTTATAAGCTAACGTTTGCACAGGGCTCGATCATGACGTATGTGATAGTTGTCCCATCGATTTAGTCTTTTCAAGGTATTTAATGTATGTCAGATGGTGGTTGGCCACCTCTGATATTGAACTGTCATGACGCAAGCCTTTAAATAATCCCTTCATCTAACATTTACCATTTTTACGTCTTTCACTCTTCCAAATTTTCTTACCCTTTCTCTCAATTTCGCCGCTTTCAGAGCCATCTACATCAATTTTTCATCTTCATTTGCCTTTCTTTCTCTCATATCAATGGCCAAACCTTCGAAAAACGTACCTCAGAAGGAGAAAGCTTCTTCTTCACGGCCGTCCAGCGACAAGGCACCGGCGGAGCCGCCTACCTATGAGTATGTTCCCGGTTCGTGTACTCTGAAGACCGATTTTAAGGTTGAGAATCCTTCATCTGTTCTGGGTTGATGTGAGCATGTGTCGATGTACATGTGCTCGATAACAGAGGGTCATCTCGAGGCTGTGAGGAAAGACTGCAACAGGGGTTCCGAGGTCGTGTTGCAAATTCCCTCCCCCGAAGAGAGCGCCATCACCCATGTGGAGGGGTTTTTAAGTGTTTACACTTACCCCTTCACGTTGGGTCCCGTCGACCCGGTGATCATCGATTTTTGCAAAAGATATCAGGTCACCCTTGGTCAAATTCATCCCTCTCTATGGCGTATAGTAACCTTACTTCGCTTCTTCTCCAACAAGGCCGGAGGGCTGGAATTTTTCCTGAATCACCTCATACGATTGTATAGGCCTCAAATCTTTCAAGGACTAATCAGGCTTCATCGTCGGGCATCGAAGGCTTTGATGTCGAGCATCAACGAAGACAAAGATCGGGGTTGGATGGTCCATTATATCCGGGTGAGGACCCGTGACCTCATT